ATATATATATATATTGATGTGCGTATGTGTGTATATGTATACACACACACACACACGTGAACGCGCGCGCGCGCACGCACACACACACACACACACACACACACGAAGTCCATATTATTATACATTAAATATGCGTATATCGCAAAGAAGAGATAGAAATATAAAATTTGATAAGAAAATAATAGCCGCACGTATCATTTGTAATTGTAAATTTGTACAATATTTATTGTAAATATAAATTATACGATCCCAGCACATATTCGTTTAAGAAATGTTTCACAAATGGTTTTTCAAGACGTTCATAACCGGTTTTTGAAAACGTTTCAAATGTCTCGAAAAACGACAAGGAAAATATTTTTTCTGATAAAAAAAGTTTAAGAAATAATTAAAATACCGTTTTTTCTTATATCCGTGAAAAAATTTGCTTTCTCATAGAATTATTAAAATAATGCATTCACATGTAGAGGATACATATAATATATATTTTTTCAAATAAAGTTGAAAAATCATTAAAATAATAATTTTCTTGAATAATTTATTCAATTTTATTTAAAAAGTATATATGTTTATGTGTAAAAATATATACATTATTTTATTAATTCCGTGAAAGGCGAATTTTTTCATAAATAAAGAAAAAAATTGTTTTTTTTTATCAAAAAAATATACACATTCATATAAATACAAACTAATTTTTTTTTCGTAATGTTTCATAGTAAAAAATTTTACAGAATCAAATGTGAATAAAGTTACGTAATTACAGCTTAACTAAGCGTGATAATCCGATGAACATTTTTATGTAGGTTCAATCGTCGATGTCATTATAATTCTAAACTAAAGATGACTTTCAGATTATTCTCGTATTTAATAATCAATTCCAAACTTTTCAATACAAATCTCCAAATCTATTTTACATATTTCAACGAGTGAAACTACATTAAAAATGTAAAATTTTGTTGGAGATTAACATACTAGAAAAATAATCTGAATCCTGTTCAGAAAATACAAACAGCAAAATATTTGATAGCATTATCATATTTACAAAATATTCAAACATTATTCTCTTTGCCTATATAATTTCATACATTCTTCTTTTGGATTTAAATTGATGAGAGATTGAGTATAACCGTTTACGTAATTACAATGTTTCAAATCATACATAGCATCAATTTAAAATGTTATTAATGTATATCAATATATTATGAAGTTTTTCTTTCTTTCTGAATCGCGGAGATTCATTATCTGTGAATTAAATCTAACGAATCTTGGGTGTTCATTTTCATAATCTACGTCAAAATAATTACATAAAGTTGTTTATCTCAAAAAATTGTGGACGCTCAATTGATGGAAATCTCGGTTCATTAATTATTTGAGTACACGTTCGTCCGCATTACGCGTCATACTATAATTGATTGTCATTAGATTAATTTATGATAGCGGTTGTAAATAAATTATATTTATATAATACAATTAAATATTGTGGCACTTTGTTAAATTTGACTCAAACAATCGAGAAAAATAATCTTTGTTCTTTGATATTTATGTCCTCGGTTCATCGCACATGTCAAGAAAAATGCAATATAAATTAATAATCGAATTTGCGCGAAAAGAAAAGATTTAATTCATCTATTTTCTCTATCGTATTTTAATTTGTTTATTAATCTGATGATTTTAAATAAGATAAGAAAGAACATATCTATTACAAACATACATACATACATACATACATAAATATATGTGTGTGTGTGTGTGTGTGTGTGTGTGTGTGTGTGTCGAGTCACATTAATTTTACGGGTAAATTCTAAAACATATGGAAAAGCCTGATTATCGAGAAACCATAATCGTTTTGTATTCATTCATTCGAAAATGAAAAAAAAACACTCGTGATGATAACTCATTGTCAACTATTTTTTCGAATGTATATCAGTTGCATATGTTCAGTTGGACAATCACAGCAATAGAAAAAAAAAAATAAAGAAAAATCCCCTCTTGTGAAAGTCGCTGTGATTGGCAATAACCAACACTGTACAATTGTATTGCACCCCATTGCACATCGAAATAAGGATAAAAAGGAAGGTAATTGTAGTTTATTTCTGAAAATCGTCTAATCGATGGAAGGTCTTTATGTGTCTGCGAACGCAGAAGGAGTAGTTGCTGCGGAAATTGCAGAGCTCGCAGCGGAACTTGAGGCTGCCGGTGTTATGAACATTGCTCACGTGTCTCTCCATGTTTGCTTTGTATATGCTCTTGTAAGGGCAGAAAGTACAGGAGAATGTCGTGGTGTTGCGCGGATTCATTTTACAACCGAACTGCATATGCTTTTTTAGCAGGCTCTTCGGCGCGTAGATTTTCTTGCAGTGAGGACACATATATCGTTTGTGCAAATTCCAACCGCTGCTATCTGAAACAGATGAAGGAAGTTACGATGCAACTGTGTTCGCTTTATATAGAGACAATCGCAAACAATCGTTCGCATAAAAGAGACCTACAATTGTCTGATCGCCATGAACTGTCACGTAGTATATAACTGATTGATGCGACTATACGTTAAACAAATCAATTGTTTAGGTCACTTTTAAATTGTAAATATTAGAAATTAAACAGCTTTCATTAAAAAAATCTCAGCTATTCCATAAGATAAAAATGAAGAAATTTATTAAAAAATATACCCAACACAAACCCATCATTGTTAAGTTAGAATCTCATCTTCATTCTTCTTCTTATAGGCTACAATGTATGAGATCTAAAGTTCAGTAGGATCAACGTACGACGCAATTCGCAGGGCAGATACGTAGAAATCCCTGAAAATTGTCAACTTTAAAACAATTGATCTTATTTAATTATCAGCAATACTTATACATCCAAATACTTATATATATCCAAAGAGAATGGTTGCATCAGTAAAATATAAATGGATATTAAGATAATCAAATTAAAAGACTCAAATGAGGAAGGATTCGAAAAAAATGTTACGTAACTCACTAAAAATTATTCATTATTCATTATTCTTTATATAATATTGCATTATAATTTTTTTATATATTTAATATATTTAATTGCACTTGCAATCATAAAATGCACATTAACGTCTAGTGTGTGTATACTAGACTTCAGTCATTCTCGTCTAATATATTTCGGTTGAGACTGTATTATGCATCGACTGCATAAAATTGAGAAATGCATAATTCACATTGCGAATTCCATTGTGCTTTGAAGTTGTTGATATGGATCATCCATAGTAGATTGGAATGTGTTTCGACCGGCGCGAAACGCCTTCCTCCTTTTTGTTGCGCTACTGTGATCTCGGATGCACGTGCCGCATATGCCTGAAGAGAACGTCCTTACGACTGGTCTTGTATCCGCAGAGATTGCAGAAAATCATGGGTGGTGTGCCACATACGGTGCTCAAGTGACGCTGAAGGCTCGCTTTCCATGCATAGCCCTTTCCACACTTTGGACATGTAAAGGTAGGTTTGCCTACGTATTCCCCGAGATCCTCGGATTGCTGCGCGGCCGGATCGAATCCTACAAATTAGACGCAAGAATATTAGAATGGTTAAAAGCTACTTTCGAGAGAGAAAAATTTTTACGTTCTCCGATAAAAATTGGCGAAACGCGCGGGGAACACAGAGAAATATAACGATATCACGAACACATAAACGCTTAATTTAACTCGTTGCGTTACGAAATATCTGAAATAAAAAATAAAATTTATACTTTACAAAGTTTACCAAAATTGATTTAAATTCGAGGAAATACTTAGAAAATGGAAATTGGAAGTATGAATATTAATACAATTTATTGATGAATAGTATCAGAAAAGATAATTGAGATTAATCATGAAAATTTCTTGCTAGAAAATGCATATCAATTTATTGCATCAATACAACTATATCTGATTTCATCACATATTATAAACATCTATTAGAAAGAAAATTTTAATTTATAAACCTCGAAAAGAAAAGAAAGTAATTTATGTATATATAGATGTAGAGATAAATCAATATAGCACCATGTTTTGCACAAATATATCGCAGGACGCGTGTAAAAATAGAGTGATATAAAATACATATAAAATTTTAGAAAATGTTACATAAACAATAATTACTTGGATGAAATATCGCGTATAATTATTGTTATAATTGCAAGAAAATCTATATTCAAATCACATAATTTACAAAAAATGTTGATATTTAATACTATTTTTATAAATCGCAACCATATTAATATAATTTTATTATTCAAAATAAGCCACAAAATATATAGAATATACATAAAATATATAATATATATTCTCTTGCATTATAAAATAACAACTCTCATATATTTTATTATTCATAACACAATAATTCAATGTAATATATAACTTGAATTTAATAAATCAATATAATTTATGCTGCATTTATTAACATTTGGTTAATAACTTAATAACAAAAGAATTAAATGAACATTTTTTTACAAAAACATTATTTCTCGAAAAAGTAGTGCAAACTTATGCGAAGTCTCGTACCCCTCACCATCGGTCATATAATCTCTCCATAGTTTAATAAAAAAAATTCTTACTGCAGGTCAAAATTCGCTTTGCTTTTCTAGAAGATCAGGATTAGTCGCAAAATATTCAAACGTTTTACATAATCTTTCGATAAGATGGATGCACTTTCACGAAAGTTCATTTTATCGGAAATGTATTCTTACACGTTGTACTATCTTTTCATCTTGTTATTGATAATCAAAATTGAGATTTTAATGCGATTGCTCAATCGACGCAAGGCCGACATGCTCGCGAACAATGTGATACTTCAATAAGGTAGGAATCCTGGCTCTATGGGAGCAGTACGGGCAGGGGTAGAGCGGTTCCATCTGACAGAAGAAGTTCATGTGCTTCCGTAGGCTGCGCCAATCACTGTACCGTTTCATGCACTTGAGACACCGCAGCTCATCCTTACATTGTCTCCAAATGTCACGCGGCAATCCGTCGCAGAAGAATCGCCGCTTAGCTGAAACACGATCAGAATCTTATGTAAGCGTAATAATTAATAATAAACGTTCATGGAACAAAGAGAATAAGATTGGATTATAATCGTGCTGCTTCTGCTGTATCATCGACTAAACTTGATAATCCTGCCAAATCATGAACATCGACTCATTATCTCATCCATTCACACCAAGAAAATTCTTCGACTGACCAAACATAGTAAAAAGAAAAATGTCAAATATTGGATAGAACTTTAAAGATTAAAAAAAATATGAGTAGGAAAGAGATATCGATTTGGAAAAACTAATTCAATCTTAGGATTCTCAAAATTGTAACGCTTCTCTCTATTCAATTTTGTCTTCGATGCGTTCCATATCTTAAAACGCGACATGAAATATCCTATATATAACAGACAATAACAGTATGTCGCTTGATCGGCATAATTTTCAAATTTAAAAAGAGAGAATAGGAACTTAGAGAGAAATGTGTCACCTTTTTCAACACTTTGAGAGATGTATTCACAACATTCAAGAAATTACACAAACGAACGGATTCCCTCTCTGCACATTGATTGCACATTGTCTGATGAATTTGAGATGCATCTGAAGAAGTTATGCTCTGAAGAACGTGAGAACGTCGAAGATATTTCCCTGAAGAGTGTAGCTCGTGGAACGTCATTTTGCAATTATGCCCAATTGCAATTGCGAGCCAGCCGGAAACATAATAAAACAACAGAGCATGTGTAAATCGTATGTTTTTATTATGCATAAGTAATATTTTACAGAACAACAAAATTTTATAAATTGTACTTCCTTTGTATCGCACAATATACATATGATCGTAACGTATCTATATAATATATGTATATATCTATTTTTAACGAATCGATCAATGCAAACAAACGTTCCGCAAATTCAGATTCATATGCAGACGCGACGATTGTCTTATGAATGTTTTTTTCTGTATTTATTTCTTCTATCTTTTTTTCTTCTGTTTCTATCGCCTATTATGATACCTAAATACGACGCGTCAATTAGAATAAAATTCCCTTAAATTTTATTTTATTTTAAAAAAAGTTAAAATACTAACAATTTTTAATAATAATCTTCACAGCCAAAACTCACAAATATGACCAATAATTTCCTATTCGAAGGAGACGTACAAAAATTAAATTTAGCAGTATCAAATAAGGTAAACATGAGTTTACCCATTTTCGCAATTTTATTTGACAATTATACACCGCTTAAAACCGTTTAACGCGTTTGATTGGAATCGTAACGCTCGTATGACACTGAAAAATTTTTTTAAGTGCACCATTGTGTATTATCTTAGCCTAAATCCTTTCTGTTGTGCCAGTATAATAAGTAATAAAGAAAAACTGTCCCGAACAATTAATACGGTGTTAAAGTACCGAGATACTCGAGTTAGAGACATAAGAAAAGAAACTGTACAACCTACTTTCACGCAAAACCTGTAATAGCAGCGTGTATGACGAGAAAGCTACTAATCGTCATTATGGACTGAGATTCGCGCTTCGCACTTCAAAGTTATTCAAAGCGTATTCCATGTCAAACATATAACACGGGAAAGCGGGTAAAACGTAACGTCAAACATCTACGCTACAGACAGATACTGACAAACACGTAATATCCTCGCTCTAATAACACTCTGAAAAATCAATAACAAAGCATACTTGTGCAAAGCATATTATGCTGCAATATATTATCGATGTGCACATCACAAACACTGTAAGACACTTTTTAAGAAATGGGCACGTAAAACAATTTCCAAATATTACGGCACTAACTCTTTTTTTCTAGAGTCGCTAATTTCTTCTTTCTTTACGAGTTCTTTCCAGAGTATCATTACAACGCTCAAAGATGGTCGTGAACAGTTTTAGATATTACCCTATATAAACATAACGAATATAATTTGCAACCTAACAAGATCGAATCCAAGAGTTCAGATTTTTATACAATAATTCAATAGCGCATCAAGAAATTTTATACACAATCACAACGAAACAAAAAAATAATGCAATGCATTATTTATATGCATTTTTTTTTCCATAGACTCCAATAGTGCCATTATTTTCATCCAAACTAAATTTGTGTTAATTGTTTAAACAAATTGTATGTGATAATTTCAATTTCAAATTGATAAGAGAAAGAGAGAGAGTGTGTGACCTCATAAACCATTACATACAAATGATTATTCAAATTGCATAGTAGTCCTTAAAGGGTTATATTTATCTACGGATTTAACCCCTATTTTCAATATATATAATATAATTGTTATTTTTTACATAAAGCCGCCAATAAAGCATGAGACTCTTATAGATTTTTATCGCTGAAAAAACAAACAAATTCGTAAATGAAATCGTTCAATCACATCACGTTTTTTTAGATATTTCAGTTCAAAGAATCAAAAAATGCTATTTTTAGCACTTTTAATACTTTGAACTTATTCAAAAATTTGACAGAATAGAGCAATTTTATTTATAGATTCGTTTCCAGTGACCAAAAAATCTGTAAACTCACTTAGTCTCGTCCATGATCTAGAAAAAAAGTTTAAATTTGTCGGAGTGTCAATCATATGCTATTTATTTTAATACTAATTATAAACTTATAACGTCAAAAATACAATAAGCAACAATTGTAACGTTCATATGAAAATTTGAATTTTTGAGATATATAAATGACTTCTTTAACATTCCAGCTCGGAAAAAAATTTTAATTGTTAAACATAAATAAAATTCCTTAATTTCTTAAAACATCATTATAATTATTAAATAAAACTGCGCAATGTTGCATAAAATCAAACAATATCAAATTTAAAAAAAATTAAACAAAATTACATAAAATTTAAAAGAAGAAAAATTAAAAGAAGTTAATTAATAAAAATATTTTTTTATTATCGATTGTTGGTTATCTAATTTTTATATTATATGATAAATAGTAATACTTGATATAAAAATAATTTTAATATATACAAGAATTTTGTAGAACATATTATTAATGACATATTTGGTCTATCTATCGTACTACTTTCAAAGTAATTTTCCTTTGTCCAAGAAATTCGTATCTGTAAAAGTAATATGTATAAATGTATACAGAGTAAAATTAAAAAGAAAACGGTAAAAGATGCATGATTATATAACCCATACTGTTGTGCTATTTGATAACAGCCTAATCGATGATACAAAAAAAAAAAATATATATATATATCGATATCAATAGAATAGTGTTTTTGATATAAGAAGATAACATGTGCATTTTGTATTAAAAATTGAGCAGCAATGCATATGTATTCTTCATATAGGGGAAACAAAAAAATTGTTTACTTAAAAGAAAAATTTTAAAATAATTCGCATTCTCTCTTATGAAATTAAGTCTGAACTCTTGTTCCAAACAAAAAGATATTCTTAAAAGTTTAAAGCGAGTCTTATAAACTTCTTAAAAACTAACACGCTCGAAATTATCCGAACGCGATAATTTGAAAAGAAAACTTTCCGATTAGTAACGACATGAGACGCTTAATACAATAAATCTTTCTTCATGAGGAACCTTTTCGTATTCCAAAACTGTCTGGAGAAACTTTCTCCCCAAACAATGAAAAAATCCAATTCCTAATCGATTTTAAAGCTTATTTTGTTCTTTTTTTCTCAAGGAACTTTTGCTTATTTTAAAGTAACATCTTTTTTACTCGATCTCGTTTACCCAATATATTTTCTAAACGATGATTTCACTTTTATTTCTCCTTTAGACTGTTCTTCATAAAAAAAAAAACCACAGCAACTACTGATTATCATTTTGTCTCTGATTATATAACACAATCATCTCATGTTCTTCTTTTACTTGATTTATAGATTTTTTGGCAAGAATAAATGTAGGAGCATTATTTCAGATGCTCGGGATATATTGCCTTCTTCGATCACGCTTATGCAGATTGTTGCTTTTAATGTAGCTTAGTTGTGGAACTACTTTGACGAATCTATCAACGGTATCGTTGGCAACTTCTTCGGGGTGCTTGTTCTTCAGATGCCTGCTCAAACTGGATTGTTGGGTGAATTTTCTTTCATTGACGCAGAAGATGCAAGAAAACTGGCGAGGCACGCGACATTCGAATTTATGATGACGAGATAGGCTCCCCTGGGATTTGTACCTTTTATCGCAATCATTACAATTATATTTGCCGGTGATGTTGCGAGGTTTACGGCAAACAGTTTTGCGATGGCGATTCAGGGAGTATTGATAGGACAGGCTCTTGCCGCAATCGGGGCATTTGTACGGTTTGCCGGTTTGTGGTTCTCCATTGCAGTTCTGCGTTTCAGGCACAAAAGATGTCCGATATCCTGTCTGATCGATCGAAGGATCGACAGACACAGACGCGGATGACATCGACAGATGCAATGGAAGGAAACCAGTGTTGAAATGAACTGAATTGTTAGTGGTGAGATCAACTGCGGCCATGGGTGACGTCGGCGGCTTCAGAAATTTAGACCACATTTCTGAAAATCAAAATGGCGATGTTAAGGAAGATCGTGGTAGAATAGATGGTGGGATTAAAAGGAATAAATAAATAAAAGCTTTATTATGCTTTAAAAGGAAATGTTTGAAGACAAATAGTGGGATGAATACGGAAGATGTGAAAGATTCAGAAAATCGCGGATTTTGATGAAAGATTAATATTGACTGGTGATTAAACAAGCAGCTGTTAGTGATTTGTTGCGATAAATAAATTTGAGTATATTGAGTCCCGAATGATGAAAAATTTATCAAATCGATAATAGAAAAGGGGATAAAAAATTGAAAAGACTGACAAAAGGGAAATATATATATA